AAGCGAAGTCCGTTGTAGGAAATCTGGGAAATTTTGGAGGCTCTAATTGAAAATCCAAGTCATATTTGTCCACAGGTTTGACATACGAAGGTATGCGCAAACATGGGAGTTTTGCTGTAAATTTTTCTTTCAAGGTCACAGATACGTCTCGAATGGTTCGACCAAGATCAGTGGGATTGTAAAAAGTTTCAAAGTATTTTTGGAATGCCTGGATCTCCTTGATGTGTCGTTGCGTACCTTTCTTCGTCTTGTCCTGCACAGAAGCAAAGGCTTTTGTTAGATGTTTTTGAAAGTCTTTGATGCCGCACATGCTGGAAGAATAATATTCTTGCCACCAGTCTTCAAAGTCTTTAGTGCAGTAGTATGAAGGGGTAAAGGGCACAAAATTGATGTGAAAAAGGCCAATGAATTTGCTAATAATGCTTTGGGCTTCGACATTATTGAAATTCATCCCTCTGTAGCAAATACCACTCTTGTTATGATATAATAGTTCTGGTAGAATCTGGCAAAGACCAAATTGTCTTGCTACAAAGTTTGGCTGGTAGGTGAGCAGAATATTCTGGGTTTTCTTAGGCATAATCCTGGTAAGGAGAAGTCTAGGAATAAGAAAGGCTTCCCAAATTTGAAGGGATTCCACCTGTTGCTCAGTCGAAAGATTCAATAATGGTCTGGTAAACCATTCTGGGCCATGACTTCTCGCAGTAAAAGAAGCCATCGAAGGAGTGTATCTGTGCCTCGTCGCAAACATCATAAGGTGTCTGGTGAAGCACTCTTGCAAGTTTTTCCCTCCTTCGTCAGGGGTCAGTCGAACTAGTCTGGTTCCTTTAATAGTCCTATTCTCGACCTAAGGATCAGCTTCATTAATAGTGTTATAGGTTGAAAGAGAAGGTTCGAATTTGGCGTTCAACCACAATTGCAACAGCCAATAAGGTCTAGCTAGGAGGATGTTGGTTTGGGGCTCGAATTCTTTCAGTCTCGAAGAAGCCTCCCCAAGACTTTCATAGAGTCCATCGAGAATCAATTCGCTCAAGCAAATGTTTCGACCAGCATGCAATTGATTAGAAAGGGTCAAGAATCTCCTAGCAACTTGGAGAGACTTGCAGCAGAAAGCACACCTTGAGAGCCACAACGCAAGCAAAGCAATATGCTCTTGATCATTGACTTCATATGTGGTTCCTATGTAATGATCCTTATAATTTTTATATGTGGGAGAGGTTTTGCTGAAATCAATGGTGTCCTCACTATCGATTGTTGGATTGAAAGTCTCTCCAGTGGGTCAAAGCCCAATGATGGCAGCGACGTCGAAACGGGTTGGGGTGACCATACCACAAAGAAGGTGGAACGTGTTAAAAATATTGTCCCAGAAGTACAATGAAGCCGTCAACATCAATTGACAGTATTCAGGACCATACTTCGACAGATGAATCAAGTCGAAAATCCCTAATTCCTTCCAGGTAGTTAGCTTTAATTTTTCTACCCTAGCTAACCAACCTAAGTACTTTTGGTCGTATTTCGACGAACCTGGTCTAAAGGGGCGTGATACTTCAGTAACGAAGTCTAAATTTAAATGAATTTTTATCAGTTCTTTTTCTTCCTGGGGAAGGTTCTCTTGAACATCCTGTTCATCATTTTCCTTAGTTTTCATGACTACATTAGTCTTGCTAGCAATGGGTTTGGTGGAATGGTGAGTTGGAAAAAACTTTTTAAGTTTAGGTAATTTCTCTATATCAAGGACTGGACCCATAAACCCTAATGTTTTAGAGGCAAGAGTAAAAGGAATTAATACTTGTTAAGAATATATGGCTATTTGTTCATTCTTCAAAGATGGTGTTGGGACGAATTCCTGGTTCCCAATCATTAATGGTGCTGATATTTGAAGAAGGGGTTTAGAGGCAGCATTTTCTTTGTTTCGTTTACCCTTTTCAGATTTGGTTTTGCTTTGAGACGCCATTGATGCAGACAAGAAAAGAAATTTGTTAATAAAGTTTTGCTGAAGATTTGAGAAAGAAGAAGCTTGAAGGTTGAGTAAGATTGAAAAAAGGAAAAAGAGATTAAAAATATTGTTTATATGGAAGAAAGTAAACCATTTTGATGAAAGAGAAATTAAAATTCTCAGGTTAGTGGGACACGTGTAGCATGATCCTGCATGCTGATGAACGGTTTTGTGAGTTCCAATACAGGAACTAGTCATTGTAGCTAATGATGGAATTTATAGATACCCATGCTGTGATTTGACATTTTGAGATTAAAGATCATCATAAGGATGACATTAGAGTAGTTGAAAGATTGACAACATGTTCAGGGAGTCGAAATTTTGAAGAGGTTGCAAAAAATATACATTTCTTGTTTCGAAATGAATATTTCTTGGGGGCAATTTGTTAGTTGGAAATTTCAACTAAGGATTTTAAAGTTAGACCTGAATATACTTTAGAATATTCCACTACTTTATTTATGTGAAGCCATAAAGGTTGAGATTCAAATTGAGTAAAATTCGTTGGAAAGGTTTACGAATTCAAATTATTGAATAAAGATTGTTATTCGAAATGTGGCTAAGGTTTCAAACATTTTTTTGTTTGACCATCTTCAGAGATTGGCGCTCAAGATAAGAAGGAGATTCGAATTCAAATATTTTGATCTTATCCGAAAAGGCGCGTGGAAGGCTCTGAGTTCATCGAAGACATGCAAACAGAAACGTGGCATTAGTTCGTGTAGAAGACCGTTAGGGTCGAAGTAGTATAAATAGTGGCTTTAGTATTTCGATTTAGGTGGTGAACATCTTTGTACAAATTACTCAAAAATTACTCAAAGTACCAAGTGTTAAAGAGAAATGAGTTTATTGAGGATGTACGTATGATACACCTATTTAATATAAATGCATTTACTTTCTGTAGAATTTCCAGTAACATTTACTTAAGTCTTTTACCATTTCAAGTTTAGAAGTAATTTTACTTTCACTTTATATGCATTTTAATTCGACATTTGAAGACATTGTCTTCATATACAAAACATGTTAAATACAAAAATCAAGTCAAAAGATTAATAAAGACACTCGTGTCTTGAGGTCAATCTGATCGATCTTGCAAGTAACTGGATCTGTGTAAGGATTTGGAAGATCAACGGTTGTTTACCGAAATTCGAAGGTAAACACACACAAGCAATTTTCAAAAATGAGCAAGTACCTAAGAGCCAGTGGAAAACCACAGATAGAAAGGGTGCTAACACCTTCCCTTTCTATAATGTACCCCGTACTCAGAAATATTCTCGAAAAATATTTTTTTCTGTTCTTTTTCCTTTTCCTGATTGAATAAAATAAAAGTCGGTGGCGACTCTTGCTTATTGCGACATTTGCGAATACAAGACGCAAACTAGTATTAACAGTCGGTTCTGCCACCGTATCACAACTACCATAAGGTATCGAGAAGATATTCTTTTGATTCTCTGAGCTTCTGTTTCCTCATCAGGAAGCTTATCTTGGGTTAAATATCGGATGATAGGTGGCATCCAGCTTCGGGCATTTCCTAACATCATAACCTCTTCAATTTTCGTACTCGATCTTTCCTGGATTTCTTGTATCACAGTTCAATTTTAACCGAGACCTTTCGTGTTGGCTAACCGGGCTAAGAGATTGGCTCACACGTTTTCCTTTATAGGGATATGAACTATTTCAAACTTCGTGAATACCTCAGTAATTTGTAGAGCCCGTTGAAGATATTTGGCTAACATTGGTTCCTTCATTTGATACTCTCCTTTAATCTGACAGACGATCGGTTGAGAATCGGTTCGAACCAACAATAAGTGACTCTGACTTCATTAACTAACCACATCCATGCAATTATGATCTCATATTCCGATTGATTGTTAGGCTGGAAGTTAAAGCATATGGATTGCTCTAACACCAATTCTCTTGGACCTTCCAAAACTATCCCCGCTCAACTGCCCTTAAGATTGGAAGAATTGTCCACCGATAAAATCCATCGACAAGGCGATTTTTCATAAACGGATGTACTTAATTCTATCAGACAGCCCATCTATATTTGTGATTTGATGTTACTCCTTGGTGTGAACATTTAACTATTTACTTTAATAGTTTAATCTTTGATTTAACATTATTAATAAACTAATAAATATAAAAGATTAAATTATTAATGTAAAATATTCATTCTGGTCTTTTAATTAGACCATTGAGTTTAGACTGGTCCTTTAATTTTTTTATGTATCACTTTGATTCTTTAATTTTCAAAAAAAAAAAATTTAATTTTTTTTTTTTTAATTAGTAACGAAATTTTTTTGAAATCAGTCACTAAATTCGTTGTTAATTAAACAAAAAAGACTAAAATAAAAAGTTTTGAAAATTAAGGAACTAAAGTGACAAAAAAAAAATTAAAGGACCAATATAAACCCTATAGTATAGTCAAGGGATGAAAATGAATATTTTGTTAATTATTAAACTAAAAATATTTAAAAATCTATTATAAAAAAATCTTATTATTGGAAGGAGTTTGATTGAATCGTATATTGAGGCTTCTTTAGTTGAGGCTTCCTCGATTAGACCCAAAAAAAAAAAAAAGCGTCATCATTCTTAATGTGAAACTAATTAGTGAAACACATTATGGAGTAACTTTTAAGGCACTTCAAGTGCCTTAAAAGTTACCATCAAAAGGCATAGAGTTCGAAGTCATTGTGGACACCTGTTTTACTCCTTCCTGATGTTATAGGAGTACTCCATAACCTTTTCCCTGTGATCTTCGGTCTTCCTTATATAAAATAAAATTTAAAAAATAAAAATAAATAACCTAATGTGGTGAACAAAGAAGAGGCACAAAAACAAAAATTATATAGAAAAATTGAAATTTGAGTGGTTCGTGTAAATATTACGTAGTACACAAGATATCAAGCGATCTGAATCCGGCCAACATTCTGGATACATTATACAAGCAAGTGGTGAACAAAATACACTTGCAGTGGAAGAAAAGCATGGAAAATGTAAATAAATCACCCATTCAGATACCCAATTGAGTCTGAACCTCCAAGATGGTTTTAGCAGAGTCCCTAAGCCTCTGTTCCTCCTCTTGATTCATGTGCACATTGGTTACACCAAGAACCCCACCTCTACCAAGCTGTGCCGGCAAGCTCAAAAACACTTCAACATCACCAATGCCATAAAACCCCTTAGCCAAAACAGACACAGGGTGGATCTTCCTTTGATCCCTAATAATCGACCGAGCCAAACTAGCCACAGAGTACCCAATAGCCCATGAAGTGTAGCCTTTTAGACTGATCACTTCATAAGCACTGTCAATCACTTGCTTGTGTATATTCTCCAGTGTCTCTTTCTCATAAGCAATTTGTTGTTTCTCCAAAAAACTCAGCACAGGAACACCACCAATGCTAATACTTGACCATAATGCCACTGAACTATCCCCATGCTCCCCTACTATGCAGGCCTGCACCATCAATAACTCTTTATTTCACACTTCAAACTTTCTACAATTAGGTTAGTATTTCATAACACAAGCTTTCAGCAAAACCAACTTAACAAATAAGAATTAAAAACTATCAAGTGAACACTCAAAACACAACCATGACACTGACCTGAACATCCTGAGCGTTGACCTGAAGGTGATCAGCAATGAGAAAACGAAAGCGAGACGAATCCAAATTAGTACCCGACCCGATGATCCGGTTGGACGGAAACCCGGAAAGCTTCCAAGCGATGTAGGTGAGAACGTCGACGGGGTTAGACACGATAATGAGAACCGTTTCCGGCGAGTAACGTGCCAGAACGGGTATAATTCCCTTAAAGAGAGCGAGGTTCCTCTGGAGAAGGTTAAGCCTGGACTCGTCAGCGATCTGTCGTGCACCGGCGGTAACGATGCATAGATCAGAGCCGGCGGTGACGGAGTATTCGACGGAAGAGTTGATCTTGACTCGGGGGAGGAAAGCAGCTGCGTGTTGAAGGTCGAGCATCTCGCCGCGGAGCTTGTCGGGTTTGTTATCGACGATGACGAGCTCGTCGGTGAGGTCTTGAGTGAGGATGGTCTGAGCGATGGCCATTCCGACGTTTCCGGCGCCGATGACGGAGATTTTGTTGTGGCGTTTGGTGAGAGAGGGAGGGGATGCGTTGGAGATGGGTTTGAAGAAGGCTTTGGTTAGGTCGAGGCCATCTGGGCCTAGTGAACCGGAACTGCTTTTGTGCATGATGAAGTGTGGTTAGAGAAAGAGGTGGAGAATGATGTTTGAGAAGTTGAACTGTTGAGGGTATTATTAATGTGGTTTGTGAGAGGACAGAAGAAGAAATGTATGAGATTTTAGCACACAGGAAGAGAGATGCTGGTTTTGAAAATATAAATACCGCCGGGTTTTTACTTTTGCTTTTTCAAATTTGGGTTCTTCTTTTTATAGGAACCCAATTGGGTATTTTTAAGGGAAGAGATTTTTATTGTACTAAACCATGTTCTTTTATGAGGTATAATTTCATTTTTGTGCTAAATTCTAATTACAAAATACCACTGTAAGAGAGGATGGTTTAAGATAGTTTTTTTTTTTAGGAAAGCATATTAAAACCAACTCGCATAAGCAATGCCTAAAGATCAATACAACAGCAGTACAAGATTCACTAAAATAGAACCAAATCTTTGCCTAAACAAGATCTAGACCTCTACTCCGATTGACAAACAAAAGCAATACAAAACCTACCCTCATATTACACCCGTGCTAACAAACCCACACAGCAGGAAGAAAATCTCTTCAACTCGCACTAACTGATACAACTACGTAGCACCATATTCTCTGCAATTTTTAATAGAAATCTCCACCTTACAATGAACAAAACAGATAACCACTACTCCTACTCTCTAACAGTAAATTACTCAATAGCCTCTGCCAATTCCTGTAAGACAATAAACAACAACTGTATCTGATACTGAATCATGTCCTAAAATAGATATCACAGCGACAAGTTCTCAACTAGCAAGGTAAGCCAGAAAAAACCAGACCAGCGTACAACTTGATTAAAGCACACTGCGCCACTCACTGCTAGAAGAGAAATCGAGACTATCCTCAGCTATTCACCTATCCATCCTAGGCATTCCTTTGGATTTGACAACCATTGGTTTATGCCATAATTAAAACCTCTAGTATTTGCCTATAATCATCTTCATGACAACCCTTAAATATCTTCTATGCAATTGTTTTTACTGTTATCAAATTTTTCGAATATCTTCTAATTTATTCTCTTCTATATGATCCAAATACACGCAATTCAAATGACTAGAAATATCTCTTTAAGAACTCGCCATCCACTGTTAAACCCTGCAAACTGAACAAAATTCTGCACAACCGAAATGTGAGAAACATACATAATATCAAGCCATCTTAGGACTTCACTCTATGCAACCCGAGCTAACCGACAATCGAAGAAAATGTGAGACATATTTTCCTCTATTCTGCAGCCATTCTGTCATAAATTTTAAGAGTCAACCAAGATGCCTATTCTAACCAAATTATTTCCAGAAGGTATTTTGTTAAGCTAAATTCTCCACACCAGAATCGAAACTTTGAGTGGAACTAAATTGCTCCAAGTGGCCGCCAACTCCCTATCTTCATCTCTAGCATTGGTTACCCCCTCCATGATCAAAGAATAAGCATATTTAACCGAATAAACGTTCTTAAATCAGCTCCACTTATCACTAACAGTTTACTCGTAGATTTGGTAAACAACACTGGTCTCTTGAAAACAAGTTTACGTGCGAGATCGACCAGGGAATCTCGGAGAAGTGCTTAAGTTCGCGTGTGTAGTCAAAGTGTTTTCAAAAAGGGTGCGTTCTACTGGGAGCCAAACGTATTTAAATTGCAAAAGATAAGGACAAAAAGACGAAGTAAAGGAAACGAAAAAGCGTTTAAGTTGTAAAAGATAATGACATGACATTAAAGAAAGTTGTAAAATAGGTTGGTTCAAACATACATTGCATTTGTCTGACTCATTTCGCTTGTTCGCTTGGTTACTTTGAGTGACTAGCGTGCAGGAATGTGAAAAGTTTGACCCATTACAAAAGTGCACTAAGTGCTTTATTTATAATACACATAAATAACTACTTTCTAAGTGGGCTTCGTTTCCTTACATGCCACGTGTTCCTCGTAACTTCCCCTCACAAACTCGTGTTCTCTATTATAACTTCTCTTTGTGAACTCACGTTCTCCATTGTGGTCGAACTCACGTTCTTCCTCCATAACATTTCGCCTTTACAGTTTAGGCGCTTATGGATCTTTTAAATTTTTTGGGCTTCTCACCTCCCTGGGTCCAATCCATTCACCATGAACTTTTCTCTAGTCGACTGCGTTTATGAAACCTTGATCGCCTGCCTGTGAAATCAACCATGGTCGACATACTTTGGTAGTTGACTCCTCATAATTTAATGCTCTTAAAAGACCTTTTTTGAATTTTAGTTTGGATTTCTCTCTTTATGAAATCCTAGCCAAAAAAATTGTCCCCAAAATTTCCTTTTCAACTGAAGGGGCAGAAACAGACAATTTAATTATTTCCTCTTAGTGCAAAGTGACGTCACTGTAATCATGATTTTATTCTGCAAATTTTACATCAGCGATCACACATCCATTCTCTTAATTTCTAGCTTCAACTTCCTAGGACAATCGTGGCCTCTAACTTACCAACTTCCTCACATCAGTTGCCATCTGTTTGACACGTATCGGTCGTGTGGCCACAATTTTCTCCCACTTCAATTCAGCCTCTTTGTCTAATTTCAGCAAAGGAGAAAATTCCAAAGTTTTGTCGCTCATGTTTGACACGAACCACCTTAGAAAATTTATTTTTCCCAATAAAGATTGAAGTTTTTTCTTTGTTGTTGGCGCTTTGGTATTCAAAATCGCCTTGGTTTTGTTTTGATTGATCTCCATGCCTTTCTTGTGCACTACAAAACCCATAAAATCTCCTGAGCGAATACAAAAAGCACACTTTAATGGATTCATTTTTAATCCATATTCCCTCATTCTAATAAAAGATTGTCTAAGGTGGTCTAAACGACCAACTCTCGAGGGTGACTTGACTACAATGTCATCAATGTACACATGCATGAAGGTGTTTATGAAATCAAGAAATATTGAGTTCATTGCTCTTTGATAAGTCACCCCTGCGTTTTTCAAACCAAAAGGCATGACGACGTACTCATATGTGTATAACGTCCCAGGGCATCGAAACTCAGTTTTGTGGGTATCGTCTTTAGCGATGAAAATTTGATTATAGCCTAAATATCAATCTAAAAGACTTAAATATTTATATCATGCGGCCGAATTGACCAGTATTTCTGCCACAGGCATTGGATATTCGTCCTTTGGGTGGCTTTATTTAAATCTCTAAAGTCTATGCAAATTATCAAAGTTTCATTTTTCTTTATTACAGAGACTATATTAGCTAGCCATTCAACATACTTGGCTGTTATAATGAACTTGCTCTTCAACAATCATTCGATCTCCACTTTGATTTTGGATAATACTTCTGGCGCAAACCTTTTTGGCATCTGCTTTATTGGTCGTTTGCCTGGATTTATAGGCAGCTTCATCTCCACCATTCCTCTACTCAAACCATGCATCTCATTATAGTCCCATGCAAAACAGTCTCTGGATTCTTTGAGCAATTCGATCACCTGATCCTTCATCTAGTTTCCGATCTTTGTGTTGATGTAAGTAATTTTCTTGATCGAACCATCATCCAGGTTGACTTCCTCCAAGGGATCTTGTGCTTGCATCATTAAAACATTGTCTCTTGGATCTTTCTCAAACCCCAAAGGCTCTTCTTCGTATATACAATCAAACCTCTGGCTTTCTGAAGCTATTATTTTTCTTGGTTCTCCAAGCTCTCCCGCCATGATGGCCTCAGGTGCCATATTTGCAACATCTTCAGCCTCTAAGGCCGCAGTTATTCTATTTTCGGCCATATAAGCCAAAATCCTTGCCAGAGCATTTGCCTCAAGCATCATCATGATTTTGTTCTTCTTCCCACCCAGTGGGCTCAAACACCCCTTTTGCAGCTGGATATGTGTCCAACTTTTCTTGGTCTCAGATAAAACCATGAGTGGAGTGTAAAGTCAAAAAATGGATTACATCAGGATGCAGCTTGAAAACTGCATCTTCTAGGCTGCACGATGGTATGGTTGCAAATGCTTTGTCGAAATTCTTTCGACTCATCACCTTTGCATCAACAGTAAAATAGTTATGATCACCTCTATGTTTTCAACGATCCCATTCTGACGCCATATGGACACACGTTGATGCAGGGTCGACGATATCGCCCATATTCCATGTATTGATTCGCGCCCCAACAATAGGTTGAAATTTGCCTTGGACGCTATCACCATAAATAATGTTTGCCTCGAGGTCGAACCAACTGACAAATTGACTTGACTTACACCCAAGATGTGACTTGTCATTCCTTTATAGTTCGACAGGACCATATTATATGTTTTAAGGTTTGTGTCGAACTTACCAATCTTCGTCAGCAATGACTGTGGCATTAAATGAACAGTAATACCACCATCAAAAAACACTTTGTTCACCAGGAACCCATCAACCTCAGCCCTTATGAACAAAGGTTTGAGATGATACATCATGCCAGTTGTAGATTTTTCAAACATTGCATGTTGCTCTTCTACCACCCCATTGTTCATGACATAATAACATAGAGGTTTTTAACCTGCTGATTATGCACACATGTCTTCTTCCTCATCCCTAGATGCCTCTGAGGCGAACCCATGTTCATTGGGTAAAACTGACACAATGTTGCAGTGAATTATCAAACCGTCCTGTGAATTATCTTCGAAGTCGTTTGATACTTCATCATCCATGTTGTCGTCACTAAGATCTTTAACCTTTGCTGGTGACTCATCCGCAACTGGCATCAACAACCTTTCTTTGGTCGGTCGACGTTGTATTTCTTTTTGGGCGCTTTCGCCCTTTTTTGGAACAACCTCTGTTGTATCATCTCTCATAGCTTTCTTATTCCTCTGCTATGGAACAAATTTTGTTGCAGCCTCCCTTGCCGCTTTCTTGTTCCTTTGAAACCTCCTTCATTGAGTTCTTGTCATAGGATTCCTCCCTTTGTAGGTGGGAGGAACATGGTATTTATTTGGTATGATCCATGTCTCAGTAAGTTGATTCGAATTAGATCCCTTTTCTATCATCTCCAA